GCATTTGGGCCAGAAGGTAGGGCTGATATGGGACAGTCCCGGGGCTGGCCACTTTAACTGGCTTATGGTCAGAATCTGCAGTACTTCACCTTGGCTCCAACAGAAAAATCACTTGGGAGGATGTGCTATGTGCCTGTTCTGAAAAACTCATGATGAGATCAATGATAGATTAAAGATGGGTTCCATGATAGCTCCATTTCATTTTTTTAAATTTCCCTGGAAGATTGGACTAAGCTGTTTCAAATTCATACCAACTTTAACTTCACACATAAGCAATCTGTTTATTTCCAAATAGCCAAACAATGGCATTAAAATTGTCTGTGTCAGAATTTCCTGAAATTGCTAAAGTAGATAAACTCTCATGAGGGCAGAAGTCTTTCCTTTTAAACAAGAATAAAGCCATTTTTATAAAAAATAGGAGAATTTCTTTATGTGTAATTATTCCTAGATAATGCATATATAGAGAAAAGAACGTAATATTATGTAAATTACATTTATAAAAGAAATGCCTAAACTTGATTACATCAACACACAAAATGTCTTCTCAGAGTCATTAAACAAACTTTTGCCCAAAATACTAATTACAGTATAAAAAACAACTTAGTGTTGTGCCACAAAATTGTAAAAGGATAAATTAAATGATCAACTCATAGTATGGAAAAAGTAAAAGTATTATGAATCTGTGTATTTGTGTGTGTGTAGAGACAGAGAGAGGCCTAAATCTTCAACATATATCAACGTTTTCTGTTAAAAAGAATGCTAAAATGACTGTTCAATTTTGAAGCAGAAAGTCAAGAAAAACCATTTCCAGTGAAATTTCTATCAAGATTTGTATTATCCAGTACATTCAGATAAATGTCTTAATATAAGAATGGCTAGATGTTGAGACCTGTTTCCCTACCTCAACCAGTTCTCAGAACTCTGATGTTTAGCTCATCTTTTCTAATTGTTAATTATGCATCCCTTATGAAAAGGTTTTTTGAGAAAATGACTTACTTTCCAAATTTAGAAAGATACTTAATATCCTCAAGAAATGCAGCAGAACTTGAAAATTTAGGGGTAAAAATTACTACAAAAGGGCTCTGGGAGTTAAACTATTACAACAAAACTCTTAGCTTATTCCTGAATAGTAAGTGGTGTTTAGTAAGTTGCTCATTTCCTGGTTCTGCTAATATTATCCTAATTCCTCAGGGGAAGATTGTCATATATTCTCAAAGGAGGGGGAAAATTCTAAGTCTGTATTCTCTTTCAAATAAATAGAAATAATTTTGAGGCTTCTCTGACAAAATGTGATTTTTTTGCCTTGAAGAGTAAAGCAAGGCCTCTTGCAAAAGCCATTATTTATAACACTGATATAATTGCTATTTGAAAAAAAAGGAAATGTGGCCAGAAAAATCAATTATAAACCACCACGTATTCCTTGGACTTTTCAAAAAAGTTCTGTGCCCATTGTCCCTTATGACCTCTCTATTAAGAGACAGGTTGGCTATATTCCTAATAGTTGCATTCAATTATTTACAGGGGATTTCTAAGCTTTTGTATTTCATATTAAAATGGCCTACAGAGCATTTCCTGATTATGTTTCTGGCAGAACAGAAGGTCACTCTGGGGAAAACAGTAATCTAGGTTGCTTTGCTTGAAAACATAACAGAGTTTTCTGGCTTTACTGCCATTTACCATGGAAACATTGATTCTCATAAAATGAAGTAAACAGCGTATGATAACTTTGCTGTCTCAGAACAAAATTACAGAAAAAATTTAAAAAGTCATTAGAAGTAGTTATCTCTAATTGAAGGCCAGCTGGTTTGTACAGATATATTTTTCAACTTCTTTGTTTTTAACTTATCACATTCTACTTCCCTTTTATAATCATACATTATCAGTTAGTCTCCAGATGTGAGTGTTTTATGATTCTGTCTTATCTATTTTTCTGACACATTGAAGTTGGTAAAGTTTTCTAGAAGCTGGTAAAGCTGAAAGAAAATTTGAAATGCAGACAAACTTCCTAAAATGGTAGAAAATATGCTAGGCAAGATTGATATTGAGGTTAGAATATGAATTTGTGAAAGTGTCACAGGAAATGTGGAACATGATATCTCCAATCTGTTAACTGTAGGATATGCCAAATTCTTGTTCTCTAGAAATCAAAGAATTAGTCCTAGGAATGATGGAGGTTAAAAGTAGGAAGGTATTTTTTAATAGGAAAGCTCCTGAGGAGCAGGAAGGGTCCTAAGTGGGTAGCCCAAGGACCCCACTTTACAGAGAAGTTTTATAGGGTGAAATCCATGTAGGTACAATGTGGGCCACAGCCATGAACATCCAGTAAGGTTACAAGTGTAGTCACTTAGGTAATGGTGGTCCAGTTGCGAAGCAAGTCACATAGCAAACATAGATAGGAGGAATAGGGATTCTCCTAGGAAGCTGCGGATCCAGAGGTCTCTGGTCACTCCCACGGTGGTCAATGCCTATCTGTACCTCATAAGCCCAGTTCTTTGAAGTAGTCTGTGGGTCTGGTCATCTTGTCTCCATCTTGAAGCCTGGTTTTCAGCCAACATGCAGTTGTGGTGTTTCACTTTTGCCCTGGCCCTCTCGAGGATTTAGCCCTATCTGACTACCTATAATATTTCTAACAAGCTAATCTATCTATAATAAAAGGACCAAAACTAGCTTAACGTAATTCTATGCAGCACTTACCAATGTTACCATTTATTTCTTTGACTTAAAAATCATATTTGGCTTCTCAAAAAAAATGCATATAGAGGAAAACTTTTTTTCTTTATTTTATTAGAAAACGTGTTCAGAAATTTGTCATTGAATCCAATGAAATCTGGGACTTGCTGGAAATTCATTTAAGGCATTTATTTGAAGCATTTCACAAAATGGAAATTTCAAAATCACATTCATATACGTAGTCTGATTTGTTTCCCTTTGTTAAATTAAATGATCAGATACAAAGTGTCGACAACATATTATCTAAGTCCCTTGAAAATATTGCCCCAGTCATTAAAATTCCACACTATACCTGTATTCTGCTTTCAAAAAGCAATGGTCAAAATTATTGTATGCTGACTTACTCACTAATCTTTATTTTAAAGCACTTCAATTCTCCTACTTGAATTTTGCATCAGAAAAAACAATTTTTGAATAACATAGATTGTTGTCAAATATAAAATCATTTCTCAATTTCACGTAATTGTCAGGAATTTTTTAAATCATTTTTGCCCAAGTACTGTCATATGTGGAATATAGAAATCAAACTAATATTTTCTTTTTATTATTACAAATGAATGCTTAAATTTATATTGATATTTTGCTTTAATATATCAATAGAGATGAGAACAAAAACAAGAATGAACAGAGAGAAGAAATTAAGGTGTAATAAATACCTGTAGTGACAGGTTTTGAGCTATGCATTTTTGGTACCTATCTTCACAGCAAATCCAGAATTCTGTTCATCATGCCACGATGTCCCTTGAAAATTGAATCTAGGACTCATTTGCAATCTAAAGTTATATTAGAATTTCAAGTGAAATGAATTTCTATAATAAGAATTCTTTGCGGCTAAAACTCTAAATAATTAAAAAGATGAAGCATTTTTATTTTTTTGGCTTAGATACCAAACCACAATGGTGAGGACTTTAATATTAACAAACATAGGAAAATAGGAGAATAGCATTTCAGGCAAAGGGACTGCCAGTGTGGAAATCAAGGTCAAATGGAATTTAGTAAGATCGAGAGACAGAGCACTGTGGCTTGAGTATAGTAAGGAAGTGTCGGGAGCAACTCTGTATGATTTGGGGGAAAACTCGTTTCATAAATCATGATCAGGGCCTAGTTTTCCTGTCTACAGGCCAGCTTTGGTCATGGTGAAATGTAACTCTGTCTTCTCTGGGCACAGCCAAGACCTCAACAGTCCCAAGATGCTGTGATGCTTCAGGACAGGACAACACCAGCTGGAAACATCCTGGGAGGAACCAAATCTTCATTTTCATAGTTCCTCATTGTTCTAGGAGCATCACCACAGCCTCTGCATCAATTGCTACTTTTGTTTTGCTGATGTTCTCAATAAAGGTGCAGCAAGCTCTGGGTCTGGGGTCTTTGCTGCCCAAAGCAGCATTGATCAGACAAATGCTCAGCTTTTTCTCTAAGTCTTATTTTTTTTAGTCTCCCACACTTGGTTGTAGGTTCTTTTGGGATCACATTTGATGATAAACATTCACATCCATAGCAACTATCCCTTGGCTGACAAAGAGTAATCATCCACTGAAAATTGAGGAATAAGGAGTTGTACTAATTATTATTGCTAAACTTCTTTCTTTTTTCAGATTCTTTATTACTGAAAAAAAAAAATGCTACATCAGAATGTCTTGGTAAAAAGACTTGCTCCTTGCTGATGTTCTCAATAAAGGTGCAGCAAGCTCTGGGTCTGGGGTCTTTGCTGCCCAAAGCAGCATTGATCAGACAAATGCTCAGCTTTTTCTCTAAGTCTTATTTTTTTTAGTCTCCCACACTTGGTTGTAGGTTCTTTTGGGATCACATTTGATGATAAACATTCACATCCATAGCAACTATCCCTTGGCTGACAAAGAGTAATCATCCACTGAAAATTGAGGAATAAGGAGTTGTACTAATTATTATTGCTAAACTTCTTTCTTTTTTCAGATTCTTTATTACTGAAAAAAAAAATGCTACATCAGAATGTCTTGGTAAAAACTGACTTGCTCCTAGAGTAATGCCAGATTAATTATTTTGAAAACTTTATTCTTTAAAAATGGAGAAGTATAAATAAGGTATACTCTTGAAGGAAATTTTGGTTTCACAGCAACTAAAGTAGAATTTCTTTTTTTTTATTGGTTTATTGGTACATTTTAGGTAGACAGTACAGTTACATTCATTACTAGGATCTTGTACTTTTACATGACAGGTCTTGGTTCTCATTTTTTCCCCTTGTCCCTGCCCTCCCTTCACCCCCTCCTCCCCTCCCCATTTACAAACACTTTAAAAATATGGAATGCTTCACGAATTTGCATGTCATTCTTGCGCAGGGGCCATGCTAATCCTCTCTGCATCATTCCAATTTTGGTATATGTGCCACTGAAGCGAGCACAACACACAGTCAGGCTTGGGTGTGGGTTGAAAAAATGTTAATCAGTTTAACAATAATCCACAACCTTCAGACCAACTAGTTGAATTTCAAAGATGTGCTTTTTTCCATCTAAAAAGAAAAGAAATCTATTCTTTGAGGAGAAAAAAAAAAGGCTGTAGGTCTTACACAAGTATCTCTCTGACACAGACTGCTGAGATTGGAATTTTGAGCCATGAAAGAAAAGAGAGAAGTGATCCTACAACTCTTGTGCTGACCAAAATGCCCAAGAATACCTGAAATGAGCTCTTCCAGCAGCATAAAGACATAGAAGCAAATCCTTTTTAGAAGAAAGCTTTCAAAATTTAGGACTCAAAGGCAGCACAGATTATGGTGAGGCAATAACACATTCAAAGACTATCAATCAAAAGAAAAAGGAGAAAATTAGTCTATCAGCATGATTAGCAAGAAATTTTGAATCCCAAGCAGTGCATATGTTAAAGAATTGTGCACAAAACAGTTATGTGTGGAAAGTTTAAAAATAAACATAGTCATTACAGTGAGAAAGGGAAAAGAATAAGCAAAATGGGAAAAATGAAACTTCCAAAACAGAAAGGATGAATGTATGTGTACGCTTATCTCTGCATGTATCTGGTACATATCAATAAAGTGACATTTGCAAAGAGACATTTGTTATTAAGATATGCATCTTAAAATATTGCCCAAAATTGACAAAAAGAGACAAGTAAAAGAAAAATATGAAGGATGAAAGAACAGCTGTGAAAGATAAAACAACAAAATTTCACCTAGACTGGCCTATTTTCTAAGAAAGTAAATAGGAAGAAGAGCACAAAATATTTATATGAATAATGGCTGTGAAATTTCTTGAAACAATGAATTCATAAAGTATAACATATCCAAAATGAGAAAAATAATAATGCACACCTCGCAACTTATACTAGAACTGCAGAATATTAAAGAGATAAAGAAGGGACAATTTCAAAATGTGTTAGGCATTCAGAAGAGACTATCAACAAAGGAATGATAGATGTAAAGTATACTTCTTAGCACAACAGAAAGAAGACAACTAAAAGATATTACCTTCATATTTTATGAGGTAAAACATTTGTCAACCCAGAATGTTCTAAAATACCTTTGAGAACAAGAGATTAACAAAACAGATAGTTTGTCATCAGAAGACCTATCATAAGGGAACAGACTGCAGTAAGAAGGAAGACAATTCCAAGAGCGAAATGTAAGAAAGGAGAACGACTAAAGAAAATAGTGAACAAGTATATAAATCTGAAAAAAGTGTTGCCATTATGAAATGCTATTTTAAAAAAGAACACAAATACTGGATTAAAGTAGCATACGTATTTCTATGGCTTGGATGAATGTCTCCAGGAGGTTTATATATCAAGCTTTGGTCCTTACAGTGTTGGTGTTCAGAAGTGTTGTGGAATTTTAAGTCCTGAAGCATAGTGGAAGTCCTTAGGTCATTGGGGTGAGCCTTTGAAGAACACTCTGTAGGGGCTGGGGATTTAGCGCAGCGGTTCAGTGGCCTGCCTTGTTCAATCTCCGGTACAAAAAAATAAAACTCCGGAAAAAAAAAAAAAAAAAAGAACATTCTCTAGCTTCAGCCATTCTCTCTCACTCCCTGTCTCCCTGTCTCCTTCTCTCTTTTTCTGGCCCAAGGTATAAACACTTGCTCCTACATACATGGTGTGGGGTGTCCCAATTGCCAGTGGCCCAAACCTCCCTGGAAGCCACTCAGTCCTGCACTTGAACCTCTTGAACTGTGAGGTAAAATAAACATCTCTGTTAGTAGCCAGTATTTCATAAAGTGACACAAAGCCTACTAGTACACTTCAGATGAAATTATTAGTGAAATTAAAGTAATTCTAATTACACGATAATGAAAATAAGACATAGCAAAATTGTTCCATAAAGTATAGGCACCACATAAATTGAAATGTATAACACACTATTATATTAGAAAAATTAAAGTACCAAAATTAGCAAACACATTATCTCACTTAAAAATTTAGTAGAAGGAATATAAAGGAACAACCCAGGGAAAATAAAAGGAATATGCTATGGTGTGAATGTTTCCCAAAGTTCATGTGTTGGAAACCTAATCTCTTACGCATCCATGTTGAGAGGTAAATCCTTTAAAAAGTAACTGGGACTTTAAACTCTGTTATCAGGTGTGGGTTCTGGCTGGAATAGGTTCCTAATGAATAGATGAACTTGGCCTCTATTCTTTCTCTGTCTCTCATGCACATCCATACACGTGATGTGCAAGATACCACACTTAAAGTAATTGTTAGCATGCCCAGCAGAGTACAGAAGAATAAACAAAAAAAAAAAGTTTATGTTGGATTTATTTCAAAAAAATCATGGGAGTTTTAACAGTGCATAATTTATAAATGTGATTTAGCATATTAGTAATTAAAGGAGACAGCTTATATAATCACTTCAATAGATAAAAGAAAGGCATTTAATGCATATCAATTTTCCTAGTTATCATTCTTAGGGAACTAGAAATATCACTTTCTGAATGCAATTAAAATCAAGCAAATATCTTGATTCATGAGAAGATATTGAGCTAGTTCTTGTGAAAACAGATACCACACATAAAAATGCCATAATCAGTGTTTCTACTAAATATTAGAGGACTGAGCCATTTCAATGACATAAAATAAAATTAAATATGAGTTTTAAAAAACTCACATTTCACATGACATCTCTATACACAGAAATTGTTCCTAAATCTATTACAAGTCATTTAAATTTTGAAATTGTAAAAAAAAATGTCTGGCTATAAAAACCCAGTTGTTTTTCTGTACACCAGTAACAAAGAGAAAACACAACCTTCAAAGAAATTACATTTGCAATAACAAGTTAGTCTTATAAAATATTTGGGAGTAAATCAAATATTTTCCAATGTAAGCAAAACAATTATAGGAGTTTGTAGGAATTCATCATAAATGTTTAATGAAGAGTCCACACCCATAGATAAGGAGAAAGATTATCATACAAAGGTCAGATTTTTCATAAATGATCTGAATGTGATTCTAATAAAAATTTTCATTAGGTCTTTTCTGTGGAAATTGATGAGATAATTCTAAAAACAATAGGACAAAGCAAAGAGGGAGCATAAATACAGAAGAGCATAAGTTAGGGTTATGTGTCTTGACACAATAAAGAGCTACTCTGAAGAACAGTGAGTGATTGTGCTGTAGAAGGAGACAACTTGGCCAATTTATCAGACAGAGAGCCCAGAAACAGACCTACACATATATATAGTCCTCAGCTATGTAGTGGAAGTGGCATTGCCAATCATTAGGAATTTATGACCTGTGCACTAGAAGGTATCGAGCAATCTATTCTCGGAGAGAAAGAGAAAAAGTGAAAAAGAAACTGTATTCCTGCTTCATACAATTGATAGAAATAAAGTTCAAATATTCTAATTACATAAATGTTTTGGGGAGAACTTTAACAATTCTAGAGGAAAGAAATTAAAAATTTAGAAGAATATTATGGAATGTTCTTCACCAAAGCAAGGAAAATGTTTCATAAATGGAATTCAAGATCTTATCATAAAAGAAAAACTGATGCTTAATTGCATTCTTTGAAGAATACTCTCATCCCTATCTATGTCCCTTGAGTTTCCCTAGGAAAATCTAAAAGAAATTTCTGCCTCCAAATTGAGAATGTCACAGACAAGTCCAGCTTGGAGAGTAAATGGATTTATTGTTAGGGGTTACTCACAAGCAGTGAGTGGGTCACCACCCACCTTTGCTGAGATATTGGTTTTATTGTGTTCTAAGATGAACAAAAAGCAAATAAAAAGATGAGAGTCCTTGAGAAATTATGTGTACTCTATTCCTGTCCCAAGTTTATTGGGCACACTGCTGGTCTCAGCAAGCACTGGCCAACCACAGTCATGGTGACCTTTTCATTCTGCATCTGGCACATGGCCGCAGCAATTGAAGGGGCCCATTACAGCAATGGCACATTACAAAGTGTGGTTACAGACCCACTCTCCTTCTACCTTATTAAGATGATAAAAAAGACACAAACTTCAAGAAGATGACTGCCATGTATACAACTAGCCAATGATTAGTATTCAAAGTACATAAATGAATCCCATAAAATAATAATTAAAATAACAAAAAGCCAGTAAAAATGTGTAAGACCTATGTATTAATTTATATAAGAAAATACTCTCAACTTTCTTGGTAATAAAGAAAATGCCAAAGAAAATCACTGGTCTATACATTTCTACACATTCATATCCAATCAACCAACAATTTCATTGCTGGCTACATACCTTTAAAATTTGGGATATTTAATCAAGATAATACCTAAAATGTTCAAGGAAACATTGCTCAATAGAAGGAAAAAGTCTAATATTCTATCCTTTGAAAAATAGGTAAATAAATTATAGCATATTAAAATGTGAATAATTCATATTAGTAAAATGAATGAATAGTGGGGATTGTCACAAAATGATAAGCCTTAGAAATAAATGAAGTCCCAGAAGACTGGCTAGAATAGGGCAATATTCATAGAAAGCTCAATGACATGTAAACTAAGTAATGTAATATATTATTTATGGAATCTTACATATGCAATTAAAATGTATTTAAGCAAAGACAATATAAGCACAAAATTTAGCATAGAAAGTACCTCTGTGAAAAACATGAGGGATTTGATACAGAAGAAAACAAATAAATGTACACTAATTATAGAATTAACTATTACAATATTCCCATAAAACACTGTTCTTGATGGCTCAGAATTTATATCAGTTGGTCACATCTTAAATAATATTCTACAAAGTATAATGGCAAAGCTGCTCTTAGTAGTTGTTTTGCCATTATAGGATTAGATCAATTTGAGAGATATGGCATCTATTTCCCATCTCTAAAGTTTTACAGATTAAATGGACATATTTTCTCAGGAAAAATCTGCAGCCAATTCACCAACTTCATTTTATTGAGGCTAGTGTTTTCCAA